GAGACACTTGAACAGGTCACCCAGAGAAGCTGTGGATGCCGCCTCCTTGGAAGTGTTCAAAGCCAGTCATTCCTCATGCCTCCACTCATTATTGAGCTTGCTCGGCCTTTTCATAATGTTCATGTGCCTCTTAATATCCTGTGACATCACTTCCAGTCCCTCTGCAAGCTCTGCTGTTCTGAAAGGGACTGTGGAGCATGAGTTCCCAAGGAAAATCAATATTTTTTCAGCACGTTTCACACTACAGCATAAGTGCCAACCTCTGAGGAAAAGCACAGATTTAGATGTGATTTGTACCTCCTGCATTTTTCCAAGTGGGCCAGGCTCTGGTACCTGCCTGTATACTGCAGAAGGATTCTGTTTATGCCAAATGAAGGTGAGCATCTGCTAGTCTGAATCCGAGAGTGATGGCTCAGCTGTATCATAAGGCAGGATGCATATTAGTTTGGAATTCACAGAAAGTTTTTCTTAAAAAGAATTTCATACATTGGTTTTAAGCATTGCACTTGTAAAATTGTGGCAACTCTGTTTTGGTTCCATCTTAATGGCACCATGTGGAAAGCGGTGTTTCAAATTAGAAAGGAAGGTCTTTCTCATGAAATCTTAACGGATTGAGCTGATACTGTGCTGAGCACTTGTTAAAACATGATGAAATCTGTCTGTATAATAAACACAAGCATGAAGTTTTTGGTATTTCAGCAAGGTCTGGAGATTGGAATGTTGCAAAACTTGAAGTTTGCCATGATTTAGACAGAATTGAGGGAGGGAAGGACTTAATAGGTTTGGGACAGTTTTAAACTTTTTCAAGTATTTTAGCCATTTTCACAATTGTCATGAAGAGCACTGTGCATCTTAAACTTTCCTTGACATTGGCTGTCTGAAGTACTTGTAGCTGTCCTATCTGGAGCTTCTGAGAAAAAAAAAGCAGCTTTGCCCATGTGTTGGCAAGAATTGCCAAGTATTTTTTTTAAACCACATCCTATTTTTTATTGCATAGAAATAACAGAAAAAGCTGCAAAAACAAAGTACAGTGTTCCACACAGACTGCTATAATTTTCTTCCTGAAAATTCACATAGAGGCCTAGAAATGGCTCTTCAGAGCAGACTTCAGTGCAGATGTGCAGAAGCACTCACCAAAAGAGATGGGGGTAAAGGGGGGGGCCTACACAGCAATGTGTCTTTTGATTTTAAGGGAATTTGAAGAGACAAGCTTACTGTGTTGTGACAGGCATACTCAGTTGCCTTGAAATTTTACTAGAGTTTGCACCTCAGCCACTGGGAAACATTTTTGTGTGATAAATGTTTTGGCCTACGGTTTCACAAATAAAATCAGGAATCGTGATTTGCTTCATAAATATGTTTATCATAGTTTTGAGGACATGATCATCTCTTTTCAGTTTGCAGTGGGGTGATTTCTGCATCACTAAACCAGGAGCTATTACAAATACGAATGTTTGGCATTCTCATGAATGCTCTGGGCACAGAGCGAAAGTGTGGGCTAGCCCAGGAGGTTGGGAAGGATAGCAAAGCTCATTCAGCTGTGGCTGCACCTCTGGTCTTCAGAGTTCCATGTGACATGTGTTTCATGAATTTTAATTTTAATGTCATGATTTTCATTGAATGAAAACTGGAGCTTGCTAAGTGCATATCTGAAGAGCCACCTCAGGAGTTTTAGCAAGGGCAGTCACAGACTGTCCTTATGGGCTCCCTTTCATAGTGTTTTGTCAAGTGCCAGAGAACCTGCAGTTTTGGCAGGAGGAGAATGCAGGACCAGTATGAAGGAATGAGGAAGGAAACGGGATATAGTGCCTTCAGTATCAGAGTGACACCCATGCTTTTTCCAGTTCACCCAGTGTGGCAGGAACAGCCTTCTGCAGAAACAGCTGAGTTACAAGGGGGGTGTCCATGGAAGATTAGCTTGGATCCTTTCCATATAGAAGCATGGTTGGCTAGTTCTGCAATTCCTGATCTTCCTGCACCTTTGCTGAAAGGAACCTGAAACCTGGAAGGATGAGCAAGTACTCATTTGGGACTAAAGCACAAAGAGGGATAGATGTCTTATTAATGTTCTTCTATCCCAATTCTTTCTCTCTTTGCCTCCCTTCTTCTTGTCACCTCCCTGGTGAAGGCACTTAAGCAGCCAGATCAGGCTGCTTCCTCAGGAAGTTTGGGGGTTTTGGGTCCATGCATGTGTAGCAATAGACCAACTTCTATTCAGCCTCTCCAAACTCTATTCAAGCCCCCAGGGAGATTTTGGAGGTTCCTGTGTAGGTCAGATTCATTCCCCAAATGTTTTGCAAGACAGCCCTGACACAACCACTGCAGATATTAACAATTGGGTATGGAATTAGGATCAGGAAGTGGCCCAGAGGTTAAGATTTTCTCTGAGTAAAATATTTCCTTTGTTGAGGAAAACACGTGTACTCATTTGTGGTGGGGATTTTTTCAAGGTGGCTGCACCAGGAAGACTTTTGATGTCCTTGGAAAATTACTCATATATGAACATACTCAAGAATGCATTTTGAACATATCTGTGTAATAACCTGTTTTGTAGACATTTTGAATAAATTTTATGTCATCTAATCTTAGTAATCCAGTACACGGACATTTTAATGGACAGGTGATTTCTCATCAAGTGTTACCCAAATCTCAGCAGTTTCACTACAGAGAGTTGTCAAAAGCTGTAGGTTTGAAAGTTGCAGGCTTAATTCTTTAACATTTCTTCATGTTGTCTTAAAACATCATGGCAATTAGTTGCTAAACTGAATTTTTACCTAGTCACACAGAGGTCTCTGTGACTATAAAGTAGCCTGCATTTGATTAATGCTTAGGGATATTCCACATGTTGGTGGAGTATTGCCACTCTTCATTAATATTTAGCATTTGGAAAAAAATTTGAACCCAACGTATTTTTTCAGTGCTTTGGAGTTGAGTACAAATGTTTAGAGATTATGGTTTGTTTGTTTTTCTAATGCTTGTACGACTGAAAATACTGAGACTACATTTGGATGGATGCTGGACTAAACAAAACTGAGGACTGAGGCTTAGGTGTGTGTACTGCAGTGCTTCATGGAGCTTTGCATGAGTCTCAGTGCCTTAACTGGGGCTTCTGACAGCTGGTGCTGTGTATGCTGAAACTCCTAACCTCCAAATAACTACTTTTTTTTAAACATGCAGTGAAACTCTGGATTCCAAAATTACTGATTTGTAATTGGCTCAGGAGAGGAAAAAGAAGCAGCAGTCAAGAAGGCACATGTTTTTTCTCTTAGGACATTGATGGTACTCAGATGTTCATCTTTGCTGCTTCTGATTTGGAATTTTTTCAAAGAGCTTCTCGCCCTAAGCCTCAGGAGTAGATGAGAATAAGCACCCCTGCTTTACACAGTTTTATTTTATTAAGGCAGTAGTTCAGTTTTTGTGTGTGTGCTCTTGAGCACAGCATAGAGCAGTAATGTCAGAAGGCAGCCTCTGAAAATAAAAAGAAATTAGCAGAAGGAACAAATAATTCTTGCTCTATCATTTCCTGATATGTTGCATGCCATTTAGTTTGTGATGAAAGCAGCAAACATCTCTAGGTTTGCTTAGTGCTTCCAAACAAGTACCCTTGTATTTCTTTTTCTTTCTTTCTTTCTTTCTTTCTTTCTTTCTTTCTTTCTTTCTTTCTTTCTTTCTTTCTTTCTTTCTTTCTTTCTTTCTTTCTTTCTTTCTTTCTTTCTTTCTTTCTTTCTTTCTTTCTTTCTTTCTTTCTTTCTTTCTTTCTTTCTTTCTTTCTTTCTTTCTTTCTTTCTTTCTTTCGTGTAGCAATGAAGCTTTTCATAAACTAAATAAAGCAACAGAGAACCTTAGACCTAGGCGTGTAAAGGTTTCTACAGATAGGACATTTGCCTTTGAAGTCAAATCCAGTTCAAGCTGTTGCTCAGTTTGAAATTATGAGTAGTTTAACCAAGCAGCTTTATGCTTTCATTCTTTTCCCCACAGTTTCTGGCCCTGAGAGATCAGTCTGTCTCTTTTATTGCTTCCATGCCCTATGACTTATCATAGAGCAAGAAGAGCAGAGGTAGTGTGGTTTCATAATATTGGTATCAGGGAAAGCGCCAGCTCAATCCCATACTGGATAGAAGGAGTCTGGTTTTCCTCTTGTGTTCCTGTGTAAATTGTGGTTAGCTTTATTTAATCCAGCCGAACAGCTTTTCTCTGAATGAGGTAAACAGTCCCCCTATTTCCTTTGAATTTCAGTGCAGAAGATACAGCTTAGTGTTTCTGTGTCCCAACTGTTTAGAAATTAGACTATTTAGAAAGCACCATTTCCTATCATGGCAAATGGAAATCTTAAGAGATTGTCGAGACCCCTGGTATGGACTTCAGGCTTCACTGAGATTCAATGACAGTGAGCCAACAGGCTCTAAAGCAAGTATTATGTGAGTTGAATTATTTCCACAAATTCTATTCATACCCCTGATTAAGAGGTGGATATGTTTTCATAAGGACCCAAATTCCTTTTGTGGCTTCTGGAAGTTCAGCTTGTGAAAATATGCATGGATCTCTGGTAACTGAAAGAATAAAGGAAAAACAATTTGCATATCCTTGTTGAATACAGAGACCAGCATTCATTTACAATACAAAACAGTATAAACCTAGGCAATGAATGCAAATTAAAACTTAAAGGAGACAAAATTATTTAGTGAATTTTAATTACAAACTTATTTTAATTACACAGTAGCCAGCCATGGGTCTCATTTGGTTTTCTATATTTAACAGTATTGTCTTTCATTCACACTGGGGTAAAGAAAACTGTTGGAATTGATTTTTCTCAGGCCTGCTATGTTGTCATGAAACTTGTATGCTCAAGCAGAAAAGCATCTGCAGAGAGCAAAAGTCAGGTCTGTGCCTGCAGTGTGGGCTGCAGGCCCTGTGCTATAGCATGATTGGATAAGTCTTCTCATTTATTTGTTATTCTGTTCCTGTTTTCTTGTTTACCTTCATTTCATTTTTGTTTTCAGTTGACATGTGGTCAGTAGGGTGCATCATGGGAGAAATGATTAAAGGTGCTGTGTTGTTTCCTGGCACTGATCGTATCCTTCCTAGCAGCTGTTTTGGCCTCAGTAGGTTCTCCCAACCCTTTCCCCTCCAGCCCCTTTCTGCAAGACTAGTGCTGGCATACATTCGTACTGTGCCCAAAGAGCTGGGTTAAGTCCCATTGCAAAATCCTTGCAACCACTGCAAAATCCTTGCAACCCAAAATGTCAATAAACCACTACTGTCTCTGAGTGAAAGCCTCAAAACCCAGAGCAAGTATAGTGTAAGGAGATGGAAACCAACGTTCTACACAATTCATCAGAATTGCTTTCTGCAGACAGTGACCACTTGTTTCTAGTTTTGTTGTTATAAATGTCTCTACCAGTTTGGTGAGGGGGGGGTGTGGGTGGATGTTTCATAAATGACTGATTTTTTAAGTTCAGGTTGCAGAATGGTAGGTACAAAGTCACTGTTTACTTCAGATGTTAGACGTTATGTATCTTAGGACAAAGGTGTGATTAACTCAGACATGAGTTTTAGAAATTCTTCTTTCTTTCTTTCTTTGCTCTGCAAATGATACTGAAGTAAGGAAGTAGGGAATGGCTTCAGTCTGGGGACAGTTTCTGCTTCCCAAGACTAAAATTGTCACTGAATTTTGTAGCAATTTGACAACTCACAAGGCTAGGAGTTTTCTTGGAAACTGTTGCAGTGGACTGCAGTCTGTCATCCTGTAAGTACATGGAGCTATTATGTGAAAGCAGAACATGTTTTTTGACATCAATTAGAAGTGATTTACAGACAAATGTATTAAATCAGAGGACAAGTATTCCAAGCAGACTGGGTATATGTATGTTTTCCTTAGAGGCCATTCTGCAGTCAGGACTGAGGCAGCCATAATTTTTTCTTTATTTGATGCCTTGTTAAAGCTTTGCTATATACTCTGCTATTTATCAGATTGTGAAAGTAGGTTCTTCTTGTGCACAACAGCAACTGAGCTCCATGCATGCTTGGTCTAACTCCAGTGTTTCATGGTCTGTAGAATTACACAAATGAGAAATGAAGATGACCTGTGTACGAGTTTTCCTTCTAATTTGAACTCTCTACCTGGGTGACAGAAGAGTTTCCAGGCATTCATTTTTTTGTGACTTTCTTTGAACATGTGTGCATGTACACTTAGGTATATGTGTGTATGGATATATCTGTACTTACTAATTCATTTTAGCACTTCATTTTTGACCTCATTCACACTATAAAAGGTTCAGTATTTTGACTGAAATGTGCAAGAAGTAATATCTGAAAAGCATTAAATAAATGAAAATTGGCGATGACATTATTAATATTTTCACAGCCTTGTCTACTAAGATTCTGAGTTTTGTTTTGTCCAAAAGGTTGGATGAGCCTATGCACACTGAAATAAGTGCTAAAATTCCCATGCATTTTCATATGATCTGGAGCACATCTCATCTACACATATGAAAGTTAACCTTTTCCTTCTATGTGTTAGTGTAAATCATTAGCACTTGTTCTCCATGAAGATCTGGACCAGGCTATGCTTGTTTTTTCTGTGATTCTGGAGTAAGAAATTTCAGTGTAGGAGTTAGCACAGTTCAGTGTTGCTGTTTTTATGTAAATAAACTTAAGTTTTGTAAGATAGCGTTTAAAGATATCCCTAAGTAAGTACAAAAAGAATTGAAGATGTCTTATACAGTGCTTCAAAACCTGGTTTATTTGACGCATCTGCATACTTCTTAGAAAGAAATCACTCAAAACTTCTATAATTAAACCATTATGTGCTGTTTATTATTGCAATTACCTCACAGAAAATGGCATTACCAGCTGCTGATTCCCTCAGGATTGTTCTGTAATTGAATTCATGTTCTTCATTTGTATTTATAATGTGTTGCTAAATTTGCACTGTTTTATGTACCGCTTTGCTTTTCTTCTGCTGTTGCCACGAGTGTCTGTTCTGTGAACAGAAATGAAGCAGTTGCATTCTTTTAGGCTGCTAAGCACCCCTTCTCAAAGCCACTTCTTCTCCAAGTCCAGTCCCCTACACCTCTCCCCAGCTGCTGATCAGCCACTGGCAGGGGTTCAGCACTTATTGTTCCTGTGCCCATATGTGGATTTGAAAACAAGTCAGAAAGTCGCAAGGGCAGACCCAGCCTGCTGAGACTAGTTACCTCATGGCATCTTCTCCCTTAAATCTGCATAGAAAATGCTTAGCATTTCCATAAATATGACATGTGATGGAATTTGGCAGCTGTGTAATTACATCAGCAGGTACTATGAGCCCAAAGAGCTTGAGAGCAGCATACTTAAGGATGTATTTAGGTGTTTCTTTAAAAAAAAGCTTCAACTTTGACATAAAATGGGTTAAAACTAGCAGTGTATCAGAATTTACCATCAGCAATTTTTTCTTCACAGGCAGTGCTTCATTTCACAAACACACTATGATCTGAAGAGTATTTAATACTAATTTGTGTTGATTTTTATGCATAAGCAGGTATGAAAAGCAGTTCTGAGACCAAAAGATTGCATATTCATGAGAAATGCACTGTCAGTCATATATTTGACTACAAAGTTTATTATTTTCCATTTTCAAATAGTTAAACAGTGTAGGACAGTTGATATTAGAAACATAGAATGTTTGGGTTGGAAGGGATCTCTAAAGGCCATCTAGTCCAACCCCCCTGCAATAATCAGGGACATCTCTAACTAGGTCAGGCTGCTTAGAGCCTCATCAAGCCTGACCTTGAGAGTCTCCAGGGTTGGGACCTCCACCACCTTTCTAGGCAACCTATACCAGTGATCTATCACCCTCATATTAAAGAACTTTTTCCTAACATTTAACCTAAATCTAACCTTTTCTAGCTTAAAGCCATTACCCCTTGTTCTGTCACTACAAACCCTTGCGAACAGTCCCTTCCTGCTTTCTTGTAGGCCCCTTTCAGGTACTGGAAGGTCGCTGTAAGGTCCCCCTGGAGCCTTCTCTTCTCCAGGCTGAGCAACCCCAGCTCCCTCAGCCTGTCCTCACAGAAGAGGTGCTCCAGCCCTCTGATCATTTTTGTGGCTTTCCTCTGGACATGCTCCAACAGCTCCACGTCCTTTTTGTTCTGGGGCTGCAGAGCTGGACACAGGACTCCAGGTGAGGTCTCACCAGGGCAGAGGGGAGCAGCAGGATCACCTCTCTCCATCTGCTGGCCACGCTTCTTTTGATGCAGCCCAGGATTTGATTGGCCTTCTGGGCTGCCACTGTGTGTTGGTGGCTCATGTCCAGCTTCTCATTTACTAGTACTCCCAAGTCTTTTTCCAATGGATGCTCCCTAGCATGTCCTCTCCTAGCCTATGCTGATAATTCTGGTTGCCCCTCTCCAGGTTACAGAACAAAATGGTCTGCTCAGCTAACTGAAAAAAAAAACCTCTGTGGCAAATTAGAGACAACTTATATAATTGTGGAAAATTCAGAAGCAGAAAAATAGGAAATGCCTTTGAATAAGTGCAGAGTAGAATTGCTTGGTTTGAACTAAAATAGAATCCAATTTTATTCTTTTTTAAACTCCAATTGTGGGTTTTGCAGTGTCCAAAATCCCCATGGTCTTCACTGATCCTTGAAATTTTACTATTTCTCTACCATTTTTGGTGTATGCATGTGATGCAGTGAGCTAAAGTTTGATTTTGTGTTTGTTTGTTGTTTTGTTGTTGTTTTTATTTTTTTTTTAATGATATATGAAACTTCAAGGTAGTAGTTCTGCTTACAGAAAAATTATTATCATGAAGCTTAGATATACATGAAGCAAAAAGAAAACAAACATGGTTTGTTGTGTTGCCTCAGGAGCAATTCGCAGAGCTGACTGTACCTGTACGAGAGTTGATTCTTGTTCCCCGAGTTCTTCACAAAAATTTATGAGGGAGACTGTTACTCTTTTCTCACCATGGCATAAATGATGTGAAAGAGTTAACAAGGTGCCTGAGTCCTCTGGTGAGCTGTGGAAGTTGTAGTTTTTTTAAACAGACAAGGTACGTGATAACACTAAGTTTTCATTTCCCCAAACTAAATATTTTTTTTTTTTTTTTTACATCTGACATGACAAAAAGATAGTAACTGTAAAGATGTTATGAAGGGAGCGAAATACCTCTGAGGACTCTCAGAGAACACGCAGACAGAAACATCAGGAGACTACACTGGGGATTGCATTTTGATTTCCTTAACTACTTATGTTCAGATATTGATCAGTGGAATAAAGTTATTGAGCAGCTGGGAACGCCGTGTCCAGAATTCATGAAGAAGCTGCAGCCAACAGTACGGAACTACGTTGAGAACAGACCCAAGTACGCTGGACTCACTTTCCCCAAGCTTTTTCCAGACTCTCTCTTCCCAGCTGACTCAGAACACAACAAACTCAAAGGTATGTCTCACAAATGGACGTGGTTCACATGTCAACAGCTACAATGTAATTGTTTTTTTTTTTTAATTTCTCCTCTCTCTAATTGCAATGGCCACATGGGCTTTGTTCAGCTGAGAGGCAGCTTTTGGATATTACTTTTGGAGAACCTGGTGCTTGGGCAGCCAAGGGAACACATATTATCAATAATGTGTTAAGCATATCTCCATGGTCTGCGTGATGTTTCTGCATCAGAAGGAACTGAGGTGTTCCTTCAGTATCATTCTTAAACTTGTAACACAAAGGAACAGTAGAACTTTCACTGGAAAATCTCTGCACCTGCAGCATTTTATTTTAGATTAAAAATGTCATGTCACCCATATGCCTGCCTCATAGCTGTATCTTTACTAGATAATAGAAGGATATTGGCAACATCAGCCAAAGTGGTGTTGACATACCTGAGCTTTAATGTCTGCTGTGGGTGGATTTCTTCTTTTGAAAAATGCTGTGGGTTGGTCTGGATATATGACGTAGAACACTAGCTTAACTGGAATGTATCTAGATATACCCCTGTAACATACAATTTGCAATGATTTTCATCATATATTGAAGTCTTGTTTTATTTGAACAGGGCAAGGACCTTCATTTGGAAAGCATGACTAATTTGTGTTTAGTATAGAAAGGACTTCTTGTCAGAGCTCTGGAACCTCTGCAAACTTATACTGTATATCTGTTCTACACCCCTTATGCATTTGAGCATACTGAATGCCAGTTTTTAAGTTGCAGTCACAGAACAAGAAACAGCACATTAAAAAAATTGTGCTGGTGCATCACTGTATCATCCCATGCCCTGCCTAAACATTTCACCATAATGTAATGTTAATGGTTTAATTAGATACTACTTTTACTCACCCATGTCTGATGAGATACATAATAATATTTTGCACTTAAATCTCCTTGCATTCTTTTTATTTTCATTTTCTTTTTCATTTACACAGGAAATAATTTTGAGCACAGAAGAGCTTAGAATATTACATTGTTACTAATACTAGAAATCTGTGTTGTTAATTTTTTTTTTTTTCATGGGTTTAGATGGTATTGTGTTTGCTACAAATGCTAAACAGTGAAAATAATGTGGGCAGTAGAAGGATGAGTTTGTGGCCTGATAGGCACAATGGGCTGTATCATCAGGTAAAATAAATCGGTGCTGCAATGTAAAACTCCATGTATATATAAGGTTGTACATTTCTGTAGTGGAGCATAATGTGTCCCACTGATTTAAACTTTGTTATGTGGGACCACTAAGACTTAAGTAGTTTCAAGGTACTTTAAGTGTTGAACCCAGGCTACAGATTTGTCATTATTGCTTCTAATGGGATACCCTAACGTAAGACTGGTACCTATGCCTCACTAACATATTCAATGCCTCTCAGCAGGCTAGGTGAAAAAATCTAAAACATATAGAAAAGTTTTTATGTTTTTCTGAGCCACATTAATTACAAAAAAAATTACAAATTAATTAGTAATTGATTAATTACTAATCAATTACTTTGATTTAGTAATGCCATGATTTTAGACTTCATTATATGAACTTTTGTTTTCTGATCCTGGCAAAAATACAGATACCCCAAGTACATTTTTCCTGTGTGTATTATTCAGCCCTCTACATGGGACATGCATACAACATGTAAAATCTCACTGAAGCTTGTTAGGGGATTTATGATATGCAGCCCTGATGTTGGCAACTTCCTAATGTATCCAGACTAAAGTGATTACTGAAGAAGTCTTGTGATAATAAGGGAAGGGGCGGAAGTACATACAGTCTCTAAAAAAGGGTGTATCATTGTTACTTTCCTAACCCAATTAACCTTCCTTTGGAGGCAATAATTGTTTTGTACTAATATTACGTTTATCTGATTTCATTGTTCCAGCCAGCCAAGCCAGGGACCTTTTATCAAAGATGCTAGTAATTGACCCGGCCAAGCGGATATCAGTAGACGAAGCCTTACAGCATCCATACATTAATGTCTGGTATGACCCAGCAGAAGTGGAGGCGGTAAGTGAGGCGTGACTCTTTACTTCTGACTGCTAAATTCAGATAAGATTCTTAGATTCCTGCTGCTTTACAGCAGCTCAATAACAAGCGTGCTACGAAGAAACAATGTTGTGACTGTGGTGGTCTTTGGATTTACATGAAATGAGATCTGTAGGGACAGGATAGATCTCTTTGTTAGGTTAACTGGCAGTAGATAAGAGAAGCAAAGCCACTTCAAGCATATGAGCCATCTTCTTCTAGATGACATGAAGAAAGGATTTTGAACCCAGTGGCTCACCTGGTTTTTGTAGCTGTGTAAGTCAATTTGGCAAAAGATACTATCTTTCTCTCTAAACATTTCCCTGTGGAAAACAGCAAACCACTTTCTATGTTAGTGTTCAAGGATACATGTGGCAAGGACAAGAATTAAACAAAACAATACAAAAACTTGAAGTTGGGATTCATCAAAATCTTAGAAGGATATAAGTTATTCCTTCCTTAAAATAAAGCAGAGGTGCATGTATTTTCCTGGATCACAGTTCAGTGTTTAGTATAATGTACACTGCATGCAAACAGAAATGGAATTTTTCTTAGAATCCCATCATACTCTAGACAGCTCTCCACACACCCTGAGGAAGCTGGTGTTAATAAGAATGATTACAATCTGCAGGTACTTCAGTGACATGGTATAATAGGTACAGGTACAAATTCAGAGATGTTCTCTGTAGAACTATGTATGAAAAGTATGAAAACAGAAGTCAGTATTTCAGCAGGTTTGGTAAAATTAACTACAAGAAGAAACTGAGACCCTGAACCCAGCAAAATTAAATAATTGGTTTTTAGCAATATGCTCCAATTCAGTGTGAGTTCTTAGAAGTACACTAAACTTCAAAAGTAAATGAAATACACAAAACTCTACCAAATTTCATACACATATGATTTTTTGCAGAGTAGGCTACCTAGGAGTGCTTTATAGTTGGACTGTACAGTAGGGTGGCTCTGCTATCTAGAGAGTCTTTAGTTCGTGTGTCATGTTTAATTTTCTTCAAGAAAGTTTATCAGTCTGAAATGTAAACATTTATACGTTGCAATATTTTACCCACTGGTATGTGCATTTCAGTTTCACATCTCTCGTGAAGATCTCATTCCTTTGCTGGATACTTTTGTTGTATTTCCATGCATTTCATAACTCTGTTGTATAGAACTACTCTGATGTCATAACTCACATTTGGGCCCCTCTTTAAATGTGCTTTGCCTGTGAATTTAACCATGGAGAGCCACTTCTGATGCAGAACAAGAAGGGAATTTGGTACAATGGATGTTTTGATATGATGATTTGCCAAATGTATGTTCTTAGTTATATTTCAGATTGAAGTGGAGGTTGTTTGTCATAATGAGGTTGCCCTTTTAGAAGGAAAAAACTTGCCAGACATGCCTAGAATTACAGCTGACATTGAACTGTCTTTTTACACAGAGAGAGATCAGGGGTTCATCTATGACTGAAAAGAAAATGGCTTAATTTCTGATTGAGAGTCCTCACGTGATCTAGAACAAACCACATCCTTTCTCTGGACCAGGACTGTAAAACAGGAATAATGATCATTTGTTTTCACAGCCAGGTGAATTGCCTAGAATCTAATGAGCCCACTAGCTCTGAAAAGCCTGCAGTAAATAAATTCTAGTCCATTGAGCCATTGGTCTCTCACATGCACCTCCTATCACCATAGACACCTGTACAAATATGGTGCCACACACTATCAAATCACATTCCTTGCATATCCACTGTTGGCTGCATTTCATTCCTCAGTAAATTACTACAGGCAGAAGATGTAAAGCAGTGGAATACCAAACTGTCATTTCTTCCATAGCATCTCAAAGAACAGAGGATGTCCCATGAGGAAAGAACAGCACCTTTAAATGTTCAACTTCAAATGCTCAGTGTTGTCCCAATTATTTGTAGTTTGTACCTTTGTCTGAACTACATTATTTTAGATAACACTGTTATCTTCAACCATCTGGATATTTGCAGAGTTATTGTATAGTTAACATGAGCTGAATATCAGCATTCCCAGCTGCTTTCTCTGTCTCTTTTAGCTCATACTTTTGTATGAGTACCTTGACAATGAAGTGTTATTGAATGGCTTTGACACCAGTCACTCTATGGTAGAGATCCTTCTTCTCTTGGCATCACAGCAAGCTGAAACTAGGGAGGTTCAGATTGTGTGCAGTGTAACCTAAAGAGAAGAGCATGGGATTAAAAACTATTTTGTCAGAGTACTAGGAATTCTAAAGAGAGCCTGGCTTTACTTAACACTTCCTATTTTTCCAATCTCATTTTCAGAGGGAAAGTTAAACTGGAAGACTTTCTTTTCATGATTAACTGTATGTTAAATTCTAAATTTCCATCTGTTCATGCTGACACACCTTCAGTGGCTAGCTGTGAATCATTTACTAATTATTTTTCTGGAGAAAACTTACTCAGTTGGATTTTCTTTGTCTCTTGGTTCAGTTATTGAAGTGCAGTCAGTCCATGTTTTTCACCATTATTGTGTCAATGATGTAGTAAGATTCATGGGATATTGGTGGCTTTCTGTTCTTTCTCAAAAGTGTCTGATGTTCTGGGACTGCAACTAATTGTCAGTGCCTCTAAGAGGAGTAGTTGTTGCTGTTGAGAAAAAAACTGGAGAGAAAGTTTTACTTACGTATCCATGTTACAACTTGCCCCTTCTGGCTGAAGCTTCATGTCTGATCAGCTATTAGTTCTTTAGAAGACACCAAGGTACTGGTATGTGATAAACTTGTTTGTCGGTAACACGAGTGATTTAGTGTTTCAAGCATGAAGTATCTTGTGTCCATTTGGAAAAAGCTGTGTTGCTGTGCACAACAGGCTGGATCCTTTTGTCTGTGACCTCAGACATGGGCCAGGCCAACGAAGCGTAACATCGAGAATACCTTTTGGAGTATCTTGTAACACTGCACTGACATCTGATGTCACATCTGATTACACTTTAGTGCAGTCGCTTTTTGTATGCCGTAAACCCCAGGCTCTGCATTGTACTAATTCCCTTGTTTTACTTTTGTGTTACTTGCTGTTGCAATTTAGTATTGGATAAGGAACGGAACTGCTATCATATGAATCTATGCATCTCTCTCAAATAAATACTTCACTGAAATATCTGCCTTGTTACAGTTGCAGAAGAGTTAGGATCAAATTCAGTTAACATTTTCTAATAACATAGATTATGCATGTCATGAGCAATGGAGAGGTGACTGTCATCTTATGTATTTTTGTTAGATCTTGCCAACTTTGTAGCAGGGGTAGGAACTGGTATTCATCTAAAAATGTTCAACAAATGAGCTCTTTGAAAAGTCACTACTTTTGCTGATTGATTTAATAATTTGACTCTGTGGATTTGTCTATACTGAACTAAACTTCACAGGTTATAATAAGGCAAAATTGCATGGATAATTATGTGAATGACATATAAAAAAATAAAAATATTTTTGTGGCTCATTAATATTAGTTTTTTAAAACAAAGCAAAACAAAGCAAAGCAAAACACCAACCATCAAGGACATTGGTATGAACAACAGATTGCTGTCTAATACTTGCAGGTGGTGTACATCTTAAGTTTCCTATGCAAATTTGAATTTAAAAGTACTTTTTCCCAGTTTTGGTAAGCTATTTTAATAACTGCTATGAAATAACTGCACCAGCATTTTTCATCAGTGACTTTTCTAGTGGATCTCTGGATCTAGCCCACTGAATTTTGGAAGGTGAGAATGGAGTTTACATTTGCCACTGGGCCTCAGCTCTGCAGCTGAACCTGTTTCTAGATGTAAACCAGAAGATGATGCTAGATTAAAGCCCTGTTGAAATGTGTTGAAATCCTTACTCTACTTGTGTAGGTCCTTTCCGAAGCTTAAAAAAATGTCTCATGGGAAAGTTAGACAAATGTGTACTGATCATGAACTCTCACTGAATGCAATCAAGTGGTTGTCCCAGTGTGGTCTCAACTTTTTGTGCCTAACTCTTTTAGCTAGGTTTGGGAGACAGCTTTCACAAATGAAGGACAAAAACAAATGAAAGACTATGGTCTAAATAGTTTTTTCAAACCATTTATCTTCATTTTTCCATATGATTATCAGGAGCACTTTAAAGAAGCTTACTCTTTAGGTAGTGTATGTTCTTCATCTTTTCCTCTCATCCTTTGCCCAAGGAAAATTGTATTTTTGGATGTATGTGTCTATTAGATTTCAAGTAATAGCTCTGTTGATTCCTGGCAAGAGGAGAAGAAAAGCTGTAAGCCAGATTTTACATTCTGTCTGCATCACGCGACTGGCATTAACCACAATTTCTGCCCTGCCTTCCCCAAGCGGGCCTTGTTTCTTCCTAGATGAGGACTTTACCCTGCTAACTCACCGCTTTAGAGATTTGCATCTGTTTCATGGGATAGGTGTGAGAGGGCACAAGAGGACCCTTAGCTGTTGTCTGCAAAGTGGGCAGGCAAGGATGGAGTGGAGGGAGGAGTGGGAGAAAGGATGCACTAGCAAAAATGAATATTCTGCCACTTCCTTAGGGAAAGTTTGCAGAGGACCATCTGGCACCTTAAATAATTCTCCCTTAGGATATGCAGCATGACGAGAATCTATGAAGCAACCCTGTTTTTTCACACATTGTTCTGAAAATGTGCAGACCGGGGAACCTGGCAAGAGAGCAATACGAAAATGCATGTTGGTTGCTTTCATTGTGCTTAACTTTCCACTGTTTTTCCTGATTGTGCCTCTGGGATTTAGAAGCCTGCATTGTGTTGCATCTGCCCATGTTCATTGCACGCTCTCTTTTGTAGCACTTGATAAGCACTTTTCCATGGAGTAAGGTCTTTCATCATGTGCCTAAAAGTTTGCTAGTGGAGTGGGTTTGGAGTTTTTCTGAGCCCTCCCCCCATCATGTGGATTCTTTCTAATATCAATAAATAAACCTGTACAATAGCGATTACACAGAAGTTAGGATAAAGTGGT